TTAAAAACTGCTATCTAGATGAAGACTCTCTCACTCAATCAACAAGAATAAAAAATATTTCTTACCAAAAATAAAATTGCATGTTCAACAATGAATTGTACTATCTGTTTTAAATCTCAAATTAAAATTATCCATCTAGAGAAAATGTGTTATATACAGTTTGTTATCTGTGGAAGAAACTAAATACCTCAAACCACTTTTTACTAGAACCTTGAACAGGTATTCGATGTTTAATAAATCGCGAAGGAAGTCTTTCCTGCCTTACACGAGTATCAATTGTCAAAATTGCTCCATTTCTAAGTCCACATAAAACAACATTTCCCTGTAAAAGAAATAAACTGGATCAGCCTCACAAATGTCACAAGTTCAGTCAGCCTCTCCTCCAAGAGACCAAAAGGAATGTTTTACATGATACAGATATAAAACATTTCACAACGTGATATAAAATGATTGCAAATGGGTAGAAGTGCTAATATAAAGTGAGTGGAAACGTTTTCCATGATACAGATATAAAAAATTTCACATCCTGATATAAAATGATTGCAAATGGGTTAAAGAAGTGCTAATATAAAGTGAGTGGGAAAAACGCTCCTTTACATGAGATAGTCCCTCAGAAGAATTAACGAACTCAACAAGATTACTCAAACTGGACAGAGATGGGATGCCTTGACCATGACTAAGAGGCATTTTAAGTTATGCCTTCACCGATATACTAGTTGTGACTTACTTATCAAATTAAGCTCCACATGTTATTTCAAAAAAAAAAAAAAAACAAGCTCCACATGTAAAAACTACAGCAAAGATGAACTAGACTACAATGCCATGAATCAAAGTGCTGAAGTGTGATCCTGAGTCACATTACGATGCTAAGATGGATAGCCCATTAGGAAAGACTTGACATTAAATAGACTCAACAGAATTTTTCACCAATCAACTAGTTGTGACTTATCAAAATTAAGCTCCACATGTAAAAGCTACAGCAAAGACGAACTAGACTACATTGTCATGAATCAAGGTGCTGAAGTGTGATTCTGAGTCACATTATGATGCTAAGATGGATAGCCAATTAGGAAAAACTTGACATTAAATAGACTCTAACAGAATTTCCACTTTTCATGCAATTTTCCGATCAGTTTTGATTTCCTTTTGTTTAGCTAGATATTTTTTTGGTATAGAAAATCAAATATTATTAGAAAGATAAAAGAGAGTACAGCATGTAGAGAATTAGAGATCCTCACAAATGGAAAGAAGAAAAAGTCAAGGGTGAGAGACTAACAACCGTTATAAATAATAGCTGGATAATCTCCATACAACAGAGACAGTAATCTTTAAAGTGCCCATGGGCATTAGCGCAAAGAGATGCCAAAAAACGGTACTTGTCGCAGAGAAGCAAAACTGGAGAATAGTAATCCCTAAAGATCTGACCAAATCATCTAAAATCCAGTAACGGCCCCAGGCTGTAAAGCCTTTACACTCTTTCCTCTTGCCAAAAGCACAAATAGCAGATGCAGCAAACCCATGACAAGGAGAAGACAAGCAACACTAGAATGTCAAAAAGTCAGAAGCGAAGTTTCGAGGCCCAATCACAACATAGGAAAAAAAAACCCAAATCAAAGGCACGATTCAACCGGCAAGCTTGGAGCCAATAATTGGTATTCGACCGATCTAAAAGAGTAGCGCAAACAAAAACCTTGACCTTCGATGGAGCAGGAACGTCCTAAAAACATTGTCAAAAACATCATTATGAATGGAAGGACAATGACTCAGAAAAGGCAAGGACTCTGTACTGTATTTGTTGGTTTACTGTGCTACCCAATTCTTATATCTTAGTCATGGATTAGGTGCATATTGGCCATTAATCAATGAGTACACAATCTCACTGCTTTAGTTTTCCAATGAATCAATCATGAAAGAACCAACAAAATGAAATTTCAACCATCTTTCTCCGCAAATTCTTCTGCCATCTTTCTTCGCTTCTCTAAATTTACTTTAATCTTCTTCTTCCTTTGTTCTTCTCATTGTTGTGTTAATCAGGAATTTTTTTTTTTAGATAAAAATGTATAGTATATATTGACAAAGTACCAAAAAAAGGGTACCACCCATTTACAAAAGATTTACAATCATGTTAACATGTCAATAACATTCCCAAAACCTATATCACTGATAATATCATGACCAAGCAAAATACATCCAAAATAATAAAGCCACCTATCTTTTATCTTAAAAATACTACTCTCAACATTATCAAAAGTTCTACTGTTCCTTTCCTTCCAAATGATCCAGAAAACAGACAGAGGTATCAAGAAATCTTATTTTTTACATATAAACCATCCCATGCCCAGATTTCACCCTCTACGGACCCAGCCATAACCCAATCCACACCCAAAAGGCCATAAACCAAGCTCCAAAGACTATGAGCAATCGGAGACCACAAAAGGAGATGGTTACAAGTTTCCTCAGGATTTAAACAGCAATAACAACCATTAATGAGCACCCTTCCCTACTTCTCAGCTTGTCAATAGTTAAAATCCTCCCAACAAGCCTCTCAAGCAAAAAATAAAATGCAGGGCGGAGCCTTAGTTTTCCAAATTTGCTTGGCAGGAAAGTTACATCTCAAAACATTCTCTTTTCTATTAAAATGATGATAATATGACTTGACAGAAAAAATATCTTTCTTTTCAAACTTCCACACAGCCCGATCATCAGAATTAGAAACAGACAGCTCTGCCAATAACAACAACAAATCCTCAAACTCTTGAACCTCCAAGTCATTCAAATTTCTGCATACATTAATCTCCCAAACAATATTGCCATTAACAACTCGATAAACTTCCTCAACTACCATCTGTTTAGACAAGGCAATGCTGAAAATTCAGGAGAACCATCTGCAGAGGCAGCCATCCCCAATCCAATCGTCTTCCCAGAAAATGATCCTATTTCCTCTCCCCAGTTTCCAAGTTATACAATGCTGGAAATTGACCCATTGCATCAGAATTCTTCTCCACCAACCTTTTCCATGTGTGGCAGGAATTCTGTAGTCTTCTTTCCTATCCATGTACTTGCCCCATCTAGCATATACATCTTTCTCCATAAGCTATTAACTTCTGTCAAGTACCT